GGGGCACACCCTGAAATGGCAGATCCTCAGGATGGCATTCGACCATGCCATGGTCTGAGTTTCAGGCATTCCCTGCACATGTTCTTAAGCTGTGCATGTTTAACCGAGCCCTACGCTTCACATTTACCAAAGTCTGACATTTTGCCTTGCCCAATGTAGTTCCTTACTCTACTGTTTTTGTGTTGTCTTTTGTTTTGCTGTATTGATGTTTTGTTTGATTTTGCTTTGTTATTGTGATTTGCTTTGCTTGTGTTGGGTTTGTTTTATTTTGGTTGTGTTTTGTCTTTGCTTTGCTTGCTTTGTTGTGGTCTTTTGTTTAGTTTACTTTGCTTTGTTTTGCTGTGCTGTGTTTTGTTTTCATTTTTTGTCTTTTTTGTTTCATTGTATTTTTAATTGATAATACATATTATTATACAAGTTATGACATTGCACAGACAATGATAAAATGCAATTATATCACACTAGTCACATTTTAACACTTTAAAGTTAAAGTCTTGTGGTGATACTATTGCAACACAGTGTGTTTTATTGCATTACTTTAAATGCTGTTTGTTTGTTTTTTCAAGCTGGGGACCAAAATTATTTCCTGTGGTAATCGACAGCAAGTCACTGATGTTGTTGATTTAATTTAACCTTTATTGAAGATATTCTTTTTATTTAAGCCATTATATGGAACACATTTTCAACAGTTCTTTAATCATTCATTTTCTTCATTCATTGCATAACACATTTCACTTTTAACATAGTCCAGAGATCAACTGCAACTTCATATCAAGGATTAACATCACGTGTACTGGCCAGCACTGTCAAAATAAGAGCAGATAGTGAGAAGTGAAGAAATAAAGAAAAATGAGATGCAGTGTAAGAAACTGTAGCATGCTGAGGCCCAGACCAACTGTAGGATCTCAGAGTCTATAAGACAGTAAGTGTGTGTTCAAAACGCCCTGCTCTCCTGAACTCTGAACACTTCATGTTTCATTGAGCAGCTATTTAGAAGAAAAAAGTGTGGAATTCCTTCACAAGCAAACTAAATCAAGTATGTTGAACGTGGGTTGTTGAATGTCAGTACATGTTAAGATGTATGATAATTAACACAATTATATATGTGTGTGTATATACACTAGCGTTCAAATGTTTGGGGTTGGTAAGATTTTTTTTTTTTAAACAAATTAATACTTTTATTCAGTGGGGATGCATAAAATGAATCCAAATAATTCTGAAGAAAAAAAAAACAGTTTCCACAAACCTGCTGAAGATTTTCTTTAAAGGATTTTTCACCAATGTTTTCTTTGTTTTTATAAACCAACATACCTCAGATGATAATCCTTTAATCAGTGACTCAATACCCGCTCAAAGCCTGGCAATGAGACACATTCTTTCACCGATGACTTTTATTTATTTCCAATGTGCAATTATTTGAACCTAATGTCTGGTGCAGTGCACAGCTAGAACACTGTTGGGTTCAGATCAGAGCTCTCAGATAACCAATCAGCACAGGCAGTTCATAGTGAGCTGGCCAATCAGACAGCCATATCTCTGCTTGCATGAGCAGATGGCTAATGCTTATGGAATGCTACAGGCCCACAATAGGCAGAATAAACTTCACGTTGTAGGGCTAGCACAATTAGGTAAACACACTGGCCCTTATCACGCTAGCAGCTGGAGGCAGCCACAGGCTGACCCTTTGTCTCCACACGGAGAGCTCAGCGCTGGAGGCGGCGAGGGACTATGTGAGTGCGCGGAAGGGTTGAAGAACAGTTTACACAAGGTTAGCTGCTCCACAAAAGAAGATGCATGACCATAGACAGGCAGACAGCCTGAGAGATGTAATCTTTTCATATCTAAAAGCCTGGAAGGGTTACACTGACAGACTCCATTTCTCTCTATAGTCACTGATCTTTATCCATCCGCAATCTTAACAAGAGAGCATTTAGAGCAAACCCCAGAAACATGCTTTTCGTGTTGTAATATGTCAAATTTTGACAGCCATTGTCTCGCCTTATGCAGCAATTTTCCCGTTGATCAGTCCAAGTTAATCTGTTGCAGTGTGTTGTGGGTTCACATCGGACAGTGGAATGCATCTGGAGCGTGGAAAAGGAAGTGATTATGGATAAAACCACCAGTGACCCCATGTGATCTACTTTTCCTGCTCTGTAAAACAGGAAATCTGCAATTATCTAAGGTTGATTCCCCACTCTTAATATTGCTTGTGTGCTGAGGATTTCTGAGTATTTTTAGGTAGTAACAATGATGTTAGACTTCATATTTCAAATAGACACTTGTAAAATGCTTAGTTTGTCCTCATTGGAATAATACTGCCATTCCATCTTTTAGTAGTTTTGTTTGAAGTCGAGGTCACAAACTTTCTGTTGCCCTACATGTCCTTTTTAGGTAGCAAAAACGGCACAACGACTCTTTTACAGGCACAAGATCTGATTGTGTGGTTTAATCCATGTACTGCTGTGGAATAGTTTATAGTTTCACTGGGAGCCAGTCAGAGGTGTAATAAATGAACCAAAATCTCTTTGAAACCGTTGTACTGCCCTCTTGTGGTCAAAAATGCAACCATGTCTTGTGTTATAATGTCTTCCATGTGCAGTTCTTTCCAAGACACACTCATTTGGATGACTTTTAAGAGAGAAGTATAATCAATTTGTATTAGAGAAGTAAGAGATGGCTTAAGTAAGATATGGCTTCTAGAAAGATTGAGTTTGAAAGATTTAGATTTTTGGTGGAGAAAGTAGGCACTTTTAGCTCCGTAAAGCTTGACATAATGGAAATAATAGTCAGAAAAGTCTTATTCTTTGAAACTTTTTCAGAGTCTTATTCAGAAATTTGGTGCAGTTGCTCATATTTAAATGGCCAAAAAGAAAGATAAAATTCTGATAGTTTGCATGTAAACCAATAAGATCTTTATAATATAGCAGACTACTTGCATAAAATGCACATAAATATCAGTTGTCACTCTGTATCTCCCAATAATATGTCTTAAGATGATTTTTTAAAATAAGTGCTCCGTTTTATTATCAAAGCTCTGTAGTTTTTATTGTGGTGGAAAAACAGATTATGCAATGCAATACAACGATTGAGAACAAATCATTGACCTGTGATTGAGAACAAACAGATGAACAAATGTTCCACAAAAACCTGATGGATCATGTTTGATACTCAGTTAAAAAAAATATGTATGAATAATCAAGTGAACCTAAGTTGCTTCAGTCCAGTAAGTGTTCATTTTGTAAGAATAACTGTTTACTTAAAGGGGTCATATGACGTTGCTAAAAAAAGAACATTATTTGGTGTAATGAAATGTGTTTATGTGGTTTAAGGTTCAAAAAACACATTATTTTCCACATACTGTACATTATTGTTTCTCCTCTATGCCCCGCCTTTCTGAAACGCGTCGATTTTTACAAAGCTCATCGGTCTGAAAAGCGAGGTGTGCTCTGATTGGCCAGCTATCCAGTGTGTTGTGATTGGCCGAATACCTCAAGTGTGTGACAGAAATGTTACGCCCTGTGATGCCCTGTCCTGCCAGAGCGACGAGACAAAAACATTGAAACCCATTATAAACGAAGCATTTGTTGCATCCAGTGGGGACATAATTACAGATTATAATGACTTATACTGTCTTTTTACGCGTTAGAGAAAGGAAAACTTAAAATCGCATCATATGACCCCTTTAATAAAAAATCAGTAAAGATTTTACAGCAAAAAGACGTGAACCACGACCTGAAGGTGGATGTTTTTACAGTTATACGAAGTCCTTTTATTTGCTTATAAATTCAATCAATCAGACACCATAAACATCCATTTTTATACTCTTTAAAGGATTTGTTCACTTCCAGAATGAAAATTCTGTCATCATTTACTCACCCTCCACTTGTTCCAAACTTGTATATGAGTTTCTTTCTTCTGTTGAACACAAAAGATGATATTTTGAAAAATTTTTGTATCTGAACAGTTGATGGGCACCATTGACTTCCATAGTATTTTTTTTTTCCTACTATGGAAGTCAATGGTGCCCATCAACTGTTCGGACACTAACATTTTTTTGGAACAAATTTAGGGTGGGTAAATGATGACAGAATTTTCATTCTGGAAGTGTTTTTCCCTACTATGGAAGTCAGTGGTGCCCATAAACTGTTCGGGTTATATGGTCAACAACCCTAGCCCCCAACAAAATTCTAGCGGCCGAATTTGGCAGGTATTGAGGTTTGTTAATACAGGATTTAGACACTCCAATGAGAAGGGCATTACAATAGTCTAAATGTGAGAAAACTAAAGAGTTATTCAACCTTTCAGCAACGGAAAAAGACGTGCAATATTTCTGAGATGGAAGAACGAGGTCTTAACAGTGTTCTGCACAAAAGGCTCAAACGACAGGCTGGCTTCAAAAATAACTTTTTTTTATTTACTTTGTAGTTCCAGCCCAATACCATCAACAAGCAGAGCTCAAGAACCAGCACTGTGCAGTTGATGGGGAGAGCCAAGAAGCATGACTTCAGTTTTTAGAACTATTCAGGCAGAGAAAATTGTTAGACATCCATGTCTTAATCACTGAAATACAATCTGAAAGATGGGATAAGTCCACATCTTGACTTTTAATGGATATAAATCTGGGTGTCATCAGCTTAAAAATGGTAGTTAAAGTCAAGAGATCTTAATAGTTGACCGAGTGGAAAAATATAAATGCTAAAAAGCAAAGGACCAAGAATTGAGCCCTGGAGGACACCAGTACTAACCAGACCAACCTCTGATCTGTGGCCATCCATAAAAACAAAATGACTGTGATCAGAAAAATAAGATCTGAACCAGTCCAATGCAGTATCCGTTACCCCAAAAACAGATTCAAATCGTCTAAGTAATAGCGTGTGATCAACGGTATCAAAAGCTGCACTTAGGTCCAGGAAATGGTACGTTTTTTTATTTGTTTGTTTTTTTTTTGTATATTTTGGCTTTTATGGAGCCATAGACCTTCTGAGGTATTAAGGTCAAAGAAAGACTGCAGAAGAGATTCAGAAAATAAAATCACTCCATCTGCCTTTGTAACCCCACAAACACATATTTAGGAACCCCCATCTGGAATAATAGGAATTTTTTCCACACACAGTGTGATTCATCTCTCTGAAGTTTCCTGGAGTTGTAGTGCCTCAAAAGCAACAAGGTGGGTGATGTGATGTTTTTGTACCCCCTCCTGGTCCTCCCCTGCTGTAGCAGAGACCTCCTCTCTGTGGGATAGTGAGAGGAGCTCTCAACTCTGATCAGGATAGGGTAGAAAGAGACTTATACCGTCATGCTGATTTTGAGAGAGCGAGAGCTTTATACTGCACTCAATGCCATTTGTTTGTTTTCCAGTATCTCCATAGTGGTTATTTCCAGTTCATTTCTTCACTTTTTGTAGTCACAGGCTCAATTTAGTCATTTTTGCTCTTCACAGACAATCATAATCAGCTGATGTTTTCATCTCCTGACAGGATGATATGAGCGATTCCCTGCGGGACTACACCAACCTGCCTGAGGCTGCGCCACTCCTCACTATCCTGGACATGTCAGCTCACGCCAAATACGTTAAAGACGTGGAGGAAATCACACCTGCCGTGGTAGAACAGTTTGTTAGTGATTTTCTGGCCGAGAAGCTCAAACCGGAGCCCATTTGAAGTCCTTGAACTCCCTGCACCCTGTTACCTGAACCTCCATCTGGCCCTTGACCTCCAGGCGTGCTCTCTCTCCTCTTCCTGTCAGACTGTTCGAACAGAAGCGTACTTGGTATTGACATTTTATTTCTTTTAATACATGCCCCTCCATCTCGAAGCGGCCGCCGCCTCCTGTGGTGCCTTGCATTTACTACAGCGCTGATGGTAAAATGCAGATTTTAACGTTGGTTGTCTTTTGCCGTTACATTTTGAGATTAGATTGAACCCTGCAGCTGCAAGTGAACACAACTTTGTTCTGATTTGCTTTTATTGACATTTTTATCAAGTATTTCCTTCTATCCTTGGATATTGTTTCAAAAATCAAGAGCTTAGAATAAATATAGCTTGGTAGATGTATTATTATTATTTTTCCAGACACTGCACATTTTACGTGGCCATATGTTCTGTACGGCTGTGATTCTCTACTTATGGGTGCTGATAAATATGCATACATGAACAAGCTGTTGTTAATATCCTTGTATAGAAGGCACTATCTATTCTTTGTGTAGCTGCCGCTGTTTATTTTTAATGCAGTTGTCTAGTTGATTCTTTAAAGGTCTTCGCCCACCTTCTTGTTGATATTTGATGTTGTTGAATGACTAATCTGTTTCCATCTCAAACGTGACATTTAAGTGGATTTTCTGTGAAGGTACCCTGTATTAAAGCGGTCTATGTTTTTTGAAGGCACAATAAACAGCATCTAATTGCAAGCTTCCTTACAAAATGTAGCCAGTTAAAGCACACAGTCCGTCTGTCTTTGGTTGTTTTAAATGTCATAGCCATTAAAACCCACTGTTTAAAATGTCTCTGTGTTCTCTTTACATAGGACTATGTTTGCAGTTCATACTCCTCTACTACTCAGTTTCTATAGTATGCATACTGTGTGCGTTATGCAGATTTTCTGATAATAATCTCATAATACTGAAATTTGCCAGATCATGCAGTATGAAACCTGAAATATCTCACAAAGCAATGTACTTCCTTCAATCTTTCATTTCCACTTACATACATGCATAACATATATAATGATGATAGTTTCCATTTTTCATACGGTACATTATAATGTTGTTATGCCTAAATTCACTTGGACTGTAGTGTTTATATTTTCATTCATTTTAGTTTTCAGTGTTTTGTTAATTAATTTAGACAAAATAGTAAGTAATTTTAATAATGGCCATAATTATTAGTATCAACCAGAATTTTTACATCTAATATTTTCACATAATACTGGAATTCTTGCCAGAATAAACACATGCCACTTGCTTAATTAAACATGGAGTGCAATGTGGTCATGCCACAGTGTAGCATAGTCTGATACTGTTTGAAATGTTTGTTGCATATTGTTTGACAAGCTTAAAGGAATATTTCACTCAAAAATGAACATTTGCTGAAAATGTAGTCACCCTCTGGCCGTTCAAAATGTAGATGAGTTTGTTTCTTCATCAGAACAGGTTTGGAGAAATTTAGCATTACATCACTTGCTCACCAGTGGATCCTCTGCAGTGAATGGGTGCCGTCAGAATGAAAGTCCAAACTAGGCCTGTCACGATAACAACTTTTTGTTGTGCGATATATTGCCCCAGAAATAATTGTGATAAGCGATATTATTGTCATTTTAAAGACCATTTTATGCCACTGAATATATAATCATAATGTAACAGCATAATAATGCAAGAAGGCCTACACACTTCCAAATGACAACAAACTTTAAATTTTTAAGAATATTTAGATCATGGAAATTAAGTATTAAGTTCTAACAAAAAGTGCAAAGTAACAAGTAGAAAAAAGAAAAATGCACAAAGAACTTGTATGGAGATTTTTCCATCTACAGATTTGTCCCTGACCTTCTTTTCTCTGTAAATTAAGGGTGCACACTATTGCTGAAAAACACAATCACTACTTAGCAGTCAGATGTCCGTATGCACAAAGGCACAGATCCCTAAACAAGATCATATCTGCAGATGAAACGTTTTTGTAGAAGCATTTGTTAAATGTATACTAGCACCTCATGACAACACCACGTTATGTTTGAGAAGCTGCAAAAGACACAGGAGCAAGTGGAATGTACAAAACATGGTGACATTCATTTTTAAGTAAATATAATGTGCGATATATTGAATCACCAAAAATTATTTAGGTCATGTACATATATTGCGCGATAAGTCGATATATTGATTATTGCGACAGGCCTAATTACATATTTA